TCCCCCCCCCCCCCCCCCCCCCCCAAAAAACGTTTCCTCTTGCTCACCCTCCTCTGCTCCTCCGCCACCGACACCAACCTCAGACTGCATGAGAGCCTTGTCGCAGTACAATATCCTGCTCGCCGCCGCCTCCTCCAACTCCGACTCTGAAAAGTGCAAGGAAAGAGCCAAGCAGCTCTTGCGCAAACTTCAAATCGTCGACGCGCTGCGAAAGGAAGAGTACAAGGAGATGGAGCAGGAGATCTGATTCTCTTCAAGAGAATCACGACCAGCTAGGCTACGTTCGTCGACCTTTGCACCTATGCCGCACGTTTTTCCTGTTGCGCTACGTCGTCTCGGTGTACACCTTGCCCTTGCGCCCCCCCTGGCCACATACCGCAACGCAATACACAGCATTGCCATCTACAGGCATGAGAGCTACATCGACGCTCGCGGAATCGATTCAAATGTAATGTATCATGCAGACGATGAAGCTGTACCGACATGGGGTCACCAGGTCCACGACGAGGCGCAAGTCTATTGCGCAGGAGCATTTCGCAAGTCTGTGGAAGCAGCGTCCGTCCAGCTTTAGCATTGCGCAAATGACCTCTGGGCCACCATCGCACCCTCTCCAATCAAGACTCACCATCCGCCATGCGTTTCTGCGCCATCGTAGCCTTATCCTCTTCCTTCTTCTTCGACTCCTCGACGCCGGATTTCGTCGTTGCGGGGACCAATTGCAGCTCGTCTTCCAGCTCGTCCACTGTAGCCGCCTCTTCATCCTCTTCCCCCTCCCCATCCCTCGCCTCGTCGATGACGAATGCTCCTTCTTCGCGTGAGACCAGCGCAGCTGCTGCAGCCTTGACGCGCTCTTCCGCCTCCGAAGCGAGCGCAGGCGTAGCGCCAATAGGCATTCCAGGTCGTCGAGATTGTGCAGTAGCAGTAGCAGCAGCAGCTGCTGCTGCTGCTGCGCTACTTTTCGCGCCTTTTGCAATCCTCACATTACCTGCACCACGACCATTCTGAGCATCAGCAAATCCCCTCTCCAACCTGTCCAATTCCGTCTTTGAAGCGTCGTTTTGCAATCCCACAAAGCTGCATTTTGGGCCTATCCTCGTCTCTCTACCCGTCGCTTTTCCAACCCTATCCCCAACCTCTCCCAATAGACCGCCCAACAAGCCTCGAACGCGCTTGGCAGTAGAGGATCCTCCTCCTCCGCCCGTCACCGCCACAGCTGCCAAAGTAGCCAACGCTTCTCGAGGCGTCTCTTGCACCCTCACTGCAGCCTCCAGCCTCATCGAGCCGGGCAAGTCTTGAGCGAAAAAGTGAGAGAGAATGTCGGATTGCGAGATGAGCTTTGTAAAGTCGGCAAGAGAAATGAGTGGATCATCGTCAAAGGTGTTTGACGCATTCCTCGTGCTCGTCTTGTCGCTGTTGGTGCTGCGCGATGGAATAGCATCGACAGTCACACCCTCTCGTGCCAATTTGACCAGCTCCTTTGTTCTCCTACCAGCTGCGTCCCACATCTCCTCTTCCAATCTCTCCAGTTGCTTTTCCTCCTTTGACATTTGTCCTGTCAACCCGGCATCCTCTTTTGCGACATTCGTACCTTGTCTAATCAATTCCCACCTATCTTGCGCGCTCCATCCAGGTTCCTCGTCCACGCAGTACCTAGCAACATCTAGCAATCCCTCGTACGTATCTGGTCTTTCCGACCTTTCCAGCTCCAGCAGCGCGTTGAGCGTCTCGCGCGATAGGCGCTGCAGGATGGGCGAGGTGGTGGGCAGGAGAAGCAGATGAGACAAGGTTGGAGATAGAGAGCAAGAGTCGGATGTGGATGTGGACGTGGAGGTGGATGTGGATGTGGATGTGAGCCACGAGGCATCTGCTTGCGCTAGAGATGAAGGAGGCAAGAGCGTGTGTTTCTGCATCGCGATCAGAGTAGCGCTGAGGAGATGGGCTGGTTGGACCTGAAATGAGTTGCCAGCCGTCGTGCGCTTAGCTCGCGTGCAGGACGAAAGATCACCGGGCTAAGAGCTCGTTTGGGTGGCGTGTGCTCAATGAAAATGCAAGTGGATCGACTGGCCGTGGAGATGAGACTTGTGACAAACCGCTGAGATGGTGGTAAAAAGGGCGAGCACCTGCAATGGCCGCTATGACTGACAACTCGATGAGCACCGCCATGCATGGCATGCGGGCCGTGCAGTCTCAAGCCGCGCGCCCGCATGACAGCGCGATCTCCTAAAGTCACGTGATCCGTGTGTGCGCGAGCACTCGATCTGGCCTCATGCATGCGCATCCCCCCCGCCTCGCTGCTTTCGAAACGTCTCGCATCGTGAATTCTAATGAAATTATGAGTGCAGGGACAGCAAACTTGGAGCACATTGCAGGACCAAAAGCTTCTACTGCACACCCAAATGCTTCTTGCTGTGCTCGTACACGACATAGGAGATGGATACGGCCGGTACCACTGCGAAAAGGGGAAAATAGGCGGGTGTGTGAGTGCTGCACGACCACATGTATGGCCATGTCGCTCCCACTCACCCTTGGCCAACGTGGGCACCAAACCTCGGTAGAAGCCTTGAAAGCCTTCATTCTGGTACGTCTTTCGCGCCACGTCCAAGAAGCCGTCATACCTGCGTGTGATGAAGTAGGCAGTGAGCGATTTGCACCACGCTCGCGCGCACACGCAACCGACTCACGTCTGGGGATGAGCCGGCGTACCAGCTGCTTGCAGGCGTGTTCTTACCAGACTGTGAAAAACAGGGCCGACACGGCGAGGTCAACGTCTCGTAGCACACGACAAGCAGACTCGCGCCACTCACTTGAGGGGATACACTGTCGTAGCGCCCACACTACCGCTGATGCTGCCAAATGCGAGCAGGGCAAGCACGCTAGGTTCTTCCTTGCCGGTATACTTGATCCAAAACAGCTTGATGCCTTCAAACGTCGACATGTCAATGGCAGAGTAAGGAAAGACGCCCACCAGACCAGCTCCGAGACCTCGGTAGTAGGTCCGCAGACCGCCATTCTTCCACATGTCCTTGGCCGTCGCTACCAACAGCGCATTGCCGCGCAGCTGCACCGCCGACGACGCCCCTTGGCCAGACTGCGAAGACATCAAGCGCGTCTTGAGCGTCTCGACGGGGTAGATGGCTGCGAGGTGGTGTGCGGAGAATGTCGGCAGACGCAAAATTCGGCACGCAACACTGCAGACTCACCGAGTTGACTTGTGATGCCACCGATACCACCACTGATGAAGCGGCTGCTTCCACTGATATCCCTCGAGTCTGCCACCTCATCGACATACTTTGCAAAGGCGCGCTTCGACGTCTCGTAGCTCAAGAATTTGATCGCGGATTCCTGTGACGGCGTGTGGGGCGGGGGGGGGGCATATCAGCCAAGGACTCCAACGTCACTCTCAAAGCCGCCACTCACTGGAAAGATTTTGATGCAGTTCAGACCGTTGCCTACCCAAAACGACTTGAGTCCTCCACCCTGCACGTACAACGCCCGAATCGCCTCGTACATCAATCCAAAACTCCTCGTCGCGGTCTGCGCCGTCTTTTTCGCAACTGCCTCCGCAGTCTGCGCGTTCTTCACGGCATCCGCAAGAGGCTGCCCTTGCGCTTGTTGGCGCGAAGTCGTAATGAGGTAGATTTTGAGCCTATCGAACGGCGCTGTAGCTGTTCGCGACACTGCTCCAGCTATTCCGCCAGCCAAGAGAAACTTGACGGCGACATCTCCATGGATCATGTCCGAATCCTCTTCCTCTTCTTCCTCTTCCTCGTCGCCATGCAGAGGCTGAGCTGTCGAGTCTGTCGTGGCATCCTGCATCGAGCTCTCGCTGCTGCTCGCATCGGAGCCTTGCGCTGTTGCGCCGCTATCGCCGCTCCTTGTCTCCTCCTTGCTCGCACCTTCGCCAGCCAGTCTCCTCCGCTCCTTTTCCTCCTCGCTCAAAGACACCTTGCCAAAATTGGTGCCCTTTTTGCGCTCTTCTCCAGCCATGCTGACATCTCCGTCCAGATTCACAGACGTCGCTCCGTGCCTCTCCGTCTTGCCCCATTGTTCCGAAAACGAGGCAAAGATGCCCTGAGCTCCAAAGAGACCCCAGGCTTTTCTAACTTGGTAGAAGCGGTAGATCTGCATGCGATTGTGCGCGACGCATCAGCCCGTGTGCGCGCGCACCAACAGAAACCTGCTCGCCGGCTCACCTCTCCCACACTAGGTTTCCTCGGAAGCAGCAGCAGATAATCCCTAAATTGAGGAAAGCTGATTTTCGTCTGCGGCTGCACCGCGCTCGCCGCCGCCGCCTCGTTGCTGCTGCCATCCCCTCGAGCGCCGTTTGCGGGTGACGATGACGCGGTGGGCAATCTAGCGCTCGAGCTGGCCAAGCTCGCTATAAAGTCTTCCAGAGCTTCTGGAGCCAAATCTATACCTGCTCTATCTAGTGCAGTCCCAATCTCTGACGCGTCTAGCTGCATGTCTCCATTCTTGTCCAGCTCGATGAAGATGCGATACAGCTCTGTGAGGCGCGGCACCAGACATCAGCTCGTGTGCGTCATCGCAAAAAGCAAGAAGAAGACTTGCGCGCTCGCTCACCTCTCTCTTTTGACTCCGCATACCTCAAGAAGCCCTCCCACTCGATTTGCCTCTTTCTGCGAGCTCCATGTTCGTGATCCTGTCCGCTCTGTCCCCTCTGTCGAATCTCTTGATCCAAGGAGCGATCCTTTTCCCTCTGCTTTGATCCGACAGCCGATAGACCCCACACACCCGATCCCACCCATCCCGCTTCTCCCTCGTGGTCTGCGCGCATGTCCGATTCGGAAGATGAGGAAGGGGAAGTGTTGCGCGAGGAAGCGTCGCTGGAGTCCATGCCGAGCAGCGATCCTATAGATCCCATGAGATTGTCAGTGTACGATTGCGAGCCCGCTGTGCTCGACGAGGGGCTGGATGAAGCCGATGAAGCGGACGAATCTTGGCTAGATTCGGAGCCTACAAAGGGGATCCAGCTGGTAGCGCTATCCAACCAGCCTCCTTCATCAGAACCATCGCCGCCATGACTGACCCGCTTCTGCCTCTCCTTTTCCAATTCGGCTCTGCAAGCTCTACACTGACTCAAGAGCTCCTTGGCGTAGCTCTGAGAAGGAGGTGTGACGTTTGGAGCAGAGTCGGAAGAAGAGGCGGTTCGTGCACTGCCGCTGCTGCCGCTGCTACTGCTGCTGCTGCTGCTGCTGCTCGCAGATGGCGAGGCAGGAGGACCCCAAGCGGCAGTCTTTTCCTCTTGCGTGTCTCCGAAGCTCGGACGATTCCTGTTGGGAGATCGACCAGCTGGGCTGTTGCTGCTCGTGGTGCCTCCTCCTCCTCCGCCGCTGCTGCCAGCACCGAGAGGATTCTCGCTGGCGAGACTGCCTCTGGCCCACGCTCCACCAGCGCCGTACCTTGCCCTCATGGCAGTCCTATGCCACTCTTCCTTTGCTCTTCCTCCAGCCAACGCATCCTCATCATCATTATCCAGCAGTATATCAAAAAGTCCTCTCAATCTCAACAATCTGGCTTGAGGAGGTTCTTGAGATCTGAATTCTTCGTACGTCGGTATTCGTGCTGCTGCCACTTGACCCGATAACGCAGAGGAGGCTCGCTTGCCGCCAGTCTTGCGATGCTCGAAAGCGGAGCTTGCAGCTGAAGAGGCAGAAGAGGAGGGCGAGATCCATGAGGACCATAAGCGAGAGGCGGCAGAAGTGGCTCCTCGATTGGAGGGAGCAGTGTTGCTTCCCGAGCTTTCTGCGCTGGCGCTCCCATCTGTTTCCCTCGAGCTGGAGCTTGTATAGGCAGCGCTCGCTGGCAAAGGTAGATCCTGCGTGGGCGTCTGAGCGCTACTGTTCGACATGTCTACGACGCCGGCTCGGTATGGATTGCTTCGTTTGATTGCTCTTACAAATCGTCCGCACAGGGCATGTCTACGTCTATATTCTGGTGTTTGAGGAGCGAGCAGCTGCGACGTTATCGATGAAATAGGGCGAGATGAGTCAGTCGTTTGCCAACAGCGAACAATGCTGCGTCTGGTGCAATTTCATGAAATGCAATGGCGGTAGTCTGGACTGTTCGGTGAGTTGCTTTGCTCGCTCGATGAGAAGCTCGCAGA